CGGACTAGATGATCTTCTCAGGTCCCTTCCGACCCTAGAAACTATGAAACTATGAATATATCATATTTACTAGGCATGCCTTATGGCAGCAAGGGGTGGGGGAGGGGCAAGGAGTTAGGAGCAGACACAGAGGGAGCGGGGGAGGCATGTTGCAAGGGGAGAACAGGAACAGGCATGGGGGTAAGGAATGGGGCCCAGGCAGCAGGGATTGGGATCAGGCATAGGGGTCAAGGGGTCAGAGGCAGGCTGCAGATGGGAGCCGTGGGTGGAGAAGGCAGGAACTGGGGGTGGGGAGCAGGCAGAGACATGGAAGGGCAGGCAGCGGGAGTCATGTGGCAGGGAGGGCAAGGGGCAGGGTTCTGACCCCATGCCCCCCATCGGTTCTTTCCCTGCTACAGGAGTGGGGGATACAAATTTAGGGTGACCTTCCACTAATTAGATTCTACACATGGAAAATTATAACTGTGTTAGAATCTAATGTATAGAATCTAATTATTAGGTACTCATCTTAAATTTAAAATCATCTTGGATTTGCGTAAATATGGGGGGGGTGTATGTATGTATATATGTGTGTGTGTGTGTGTGTGTGTGTGTGTAGATGTGTGTGTGTGTATATAAAATCTAATAGGGCTGTGTGAAGATTCAGGAGCCATTTTGATTCGAAGGATATTTGGCCTGATTTGGGGACCAAATCTCCGAATTTGAATCAAATTGGGAGACCAATTAAAAGCTCCAAATCAATTCAAAGTGTCCGAATCAATTCAGAAAAGATTTTGCCATAGGCTAAACAGGCAGATTCGGCCATAGACTAAACAGGCAGCTAACACCGCTGCCTCCAGCTGGTAAGTCTGTTGGGGCTGTGGGAGGGGGGATGGAAGGAGTATAGGGGAGGGAGAGATTAGGGCTGGGGCTGGCATAAGCTGGCTAGCTGGGGAGGGGGGATGCGGGATGTAGGCACAGCGGTTCTGCCCTGCTGCCACTTGCCCAGCTGGGGCGGGGAGGGGCGGGATGCGGGCGTGACTCGTTTCAGGTAGAGGGAGGCAAGCAGCAGCAGTGCATAGCTCCTGCTCCCAGCATTGCTCTGCCTGCATCCCATGCCCCCCTGCCTCAGCTGGCAAGTGGCAGCAGGGCAGAGCCCCACTCCCAGTACTAATGCAGGTGCAGTAGTGCTGGGAGCAGGGACTATGCCATGCTGCTGCCCGGAGTGTGCTGCGCCTGCATCACACCCTCTCCCCCCGCCTCCCTGCTCTGTCTGGGCAAGCGGCAGCAGGGCATAGCCCCTGCTTCAAGTGCTACTGTGCCCGCATCCCCTGTCCTACTATGCCAGCTGGCAAGTGGTGGCAGCGCCCACCTCTCCGCACTGGCTGGCAAGTAGCAACAGGGCAGAGTCCCTGCTCCCAGTGCTGATGCAGGTGTGGCAGCACTGGGAGTGGGGGCTATGCCCTGCTGCTCCCCAGAGAGACCTATGCCTGCATTGTGGTGGCCCCCCCCCCCCGCTGGCTGGGCCAACCAGGTCAGTCATGAGGGCTTCTCCCATGGCTCCCCCTGCCAGGGCAGAGGCAGGCACAGCTGGGGGAGCTGCAGGAGAAGCCCCCATAACTGCCCTGCCCAGCCCCAGCCTCCCGGCACTTTATAAAAAAACAAACAAACAAACAAAAAGCCGCCGCACTCACTGGCTGCAGCGGCAGTGATCAGGGCCTCCTAGGGCTCATGGCAGAGCCCTCCTGTGCAGCGCGGGGCAGTGAGGGACAGCAGGGATCACCCCACGTGGCAGCTGTTGCATTACACAGAGGGGCAGCTCCAGCAGTCAAACAGGGCCCGGCACCTCTTGGCCCCAGCTCCCAGACAGCACG